ATATAAAAGGGCTCCCTATAGTTTTAAGCATAAGCTGAGGTAGATCATTTTAGTTAATGTAAGCCTTATTTTCCAAATATATTTTTAAAATATGTACAAATATGTACAGTACATCTGGCTCAGGGTGTGTTTTGTTGTAAATGTGCTGATGCTAGTCAGTGCTGGTTGATGTGTGTGTTTTAGATCATATTCCTCTCAGACTGAGTGGAGGGGAGAGCCGGTGCTCTGGGAGGCTGGAGGTGTATCATAACGCTGTGTGGGGCTCAGTCTGTGATGATCAGTGGGACATCAGCGATGCTCAGGTGGTCTGCAGGCAGCTGGGTTGTGGAGCAGCACTGAGAGCTGATGGGAATTCAGTCTTTGGTGCTGGTGAAGGTGTTGTGTGGATGAACAAAGTCGAGTGCAGAGGGAATGAGATTCACCTGTGGGACTGTCCTCTCTCCCTGAATAACCACACTGACTACTCACGCAAGAAGCTTGTTAGACTCACCTGTGCAGGTCACAGCAAAAATTTTATAATAATTTAAAAATAATTTTAGTTTTAATAATAGTTGAGTGTTTATTCAGTCATCTGCATTATTGTTAATGTGTTTGTGTCTGTTTTGCCAGATGTGTTAGTGTCCACTACTCCTGCCACAACATCATCAGTCACTCCTCCACAAACTCCTCCAGCAGCATCTCTCTCCGTCCCCCCAGTGCTTGTGATTGTACTGGGAGTTGTGCTCTTACTGCTCTTAGTGCCACTGCTTATACTGATTCAGCAGAACAGAGTGATGAGGAGAGGTAGGAGAGATCCAGAGACTGTCATATTGTGTCTTATTCAGTGTGTGATCAGTCATGTGTTGTGAACTGACAGCAGGTTTGTCTTTCTACACTCACAGCTCTCTCTGACTGGTACACAGGACTTCACAGGACTCAGTCTCAGACTGAGCCAGTATATGAGGAAATTTATCACAGACACAATCAATTTACTCATAGAGGTGAGGCATCATGAGAAAACGTAATTGTAAGTGCGTACTGATTCAAAGGGTCCCTACAGTGTTTACTTCTCCTCGATTACTAGCACATTACTAATTACCCTTACAATGTTAAAGTCAGCTTGGCAGAGCTGCGGGTGGATGTTTGTGTGTGTGTGTGTGTGTGTGTGTGTGTGTGTGTGTGTGTGTGTGTGTGTGTGAATGGCTGTGTGCCTGTCAGCGTCTCTTCCTGTATATTTTTAGATTGTCATAAGCAGGTGTTCATATAATTTTAAGTGTAGGTGCAGGTGTGTGTGTGTGTGTGTGTGTGTTTGTATTTCTGGAAGGCAGTGAGGAATGGGTTCATATGAGGATACAGTACATGTGTATTTGCTAATAGGCCCAATAAAAAGGGATTTCTCGCTATAATACTTTTTAAATGTGAATAATTCATTTTTGTGTTGTCTTGTCTTCTTTATAATCGAAAGGAATTGAATATTCAGTTTGTAATGATGAACATGTTTCTGATGGTTCTGCTCTCCTTTAACAGGGAGTCTCATCTCTGAAGAACTGTATTCTGGGTATGAAGATGCTGATGAGCTTCTCTCAGGTTAGAGAGCTTGAATGCATATTCATTCCACATTCTATCTAAAAAAACCTTTATAATGAATTCACATAAACAAAGAAATAAGTGT